TATTGTGACCATCGCAAAAGGTACACTAGGAGTAAAAGGACATCTATTCGCTGACATTTATGAGTACATTTTAAATATGGTACGTATCCAAGCTTCTCTACATTTTAAGTTTCCTTAACTTCCACGATAGCTAACTAGAAATTTAAATTTCGCCGAGAACATTCAGAAGGATAGTGTTGATCACACGTTCGCCGAGCTGGGAAATTTGTTTGCAAACGTTTCATCGCCATGCAAGGCGACATCATCAGTACGTCGAGATGTGGAGTGTAATCTCGCTGATTGAATTGTCGATCCGTGATCGGCGTGCAGATGACTTTTCCAAAGGGACGGCTTCGATGTGTGTCCCGTGATCTCTATCCATTTCCCCGTGGCGGAACTCGTCACTCTGGTTGTTCCTATTCAAGTGGCGTCTCATAATTTCTCTAAGTTCTCTCCGTAGGATGGGTTAGTAAACTGGGTCAATTTCGATATACACGTTGGTCGGGTCTTCTGTTGAGAACCACGCTTCCAGGAGCTCACTTCCTCTTCTTGTTTCACCTCATGCCAGGACTTCTGTTTTGGCCCAATCAAAGCTGTGTTCCTTTTCATCCACGTGTGCAGAGACTAGCGATGATGCATAGTGCCTTTTGCATGCTCACTTGTACTCTCTTAATCGTGTTGATAATTTTCTACCTGTTTGGCCAACATAGTCCTTTTCGCAATTTCTACAACTTAGTCTATATACAACATTACTTTGCTCATGAGCTTCCAGTTTCTCTTTCGGTTTCGACAGAGTTTTCCTCAATGTGGCAGTTGGTTTGTATGCTACGATGAGGTGATGTTGCTTGAATAGTCTTGCTGCCATTTCGGATATATTCTTCATACAAGGTAAAACAACGCGTCTCTTCGTCGTTGGTGTAGGCTGTTTGTTTGTTTCGTTGTGGTTCAGACACATTCGAATGAAGCCTCGCGGGTATCCATTGAGTTGGAAACATTTAAATAGACGCTTCTCTTCTTGTTGCTTTGCCTCCGCGGTACTGCTGTGTGTCCGCACTCCACCAAATAGTGTCCGCACCCAGCTTACTTTGTAGCATTTCGGGTGGTTACTGTTGAAGTTCAGAAGTTGGTCCGTATATGTCCATTTTCTGTAAACTGATGTTTGCAGCCTCCCTTCCATGGTTCTGTTTACTAATACATCCAGGAAAGGTAGTTGGTTTTCCTTCTCCATTTCGATCGTAAACCGGATGTCTTCATTGGCGTTGTTCAATAGCTGCTGTGCGACTGTAACTTGATTGCATTTGATGAGCACAAAACTATCGTCAACACATCGGACCCGCAGTTTCGGATCACTGGGTGGGAGTACATCACCCTCCAATTTCTGCATTACCATCTCCGCGATGAGTCTCGATAAAGGTGATCCCGTTGGCGCGGCTTTCAATTGTTCGTAGATCTTCCAGTTGAAAGAGAAGTAGGTTGACAGACACAGCTGGAGTAGCTTACATACGTTTTCGGTCGTCATGTACCCGATTGGTTGTTCACTGCTGTTCAGCCGTTCTGTGATGACTGTTGTTGCCATCTGTAAGTTGACAGACGTAAAGACGGCAGTCACGTCGAAAGATATCATTGTTTCATCATCATCTATTCGCAGGTCTTTGGGCGTTTGTAGAAATTGCTGGACATTATTAATGGAATATTGTGATCCGCAGGTCAGATGTTTGAGGCGTCTCCACATTTCTTACGCCAAGTGGTAGGTGGGTGTTCCTGGTAGTGACACGATCGGTCGTAAGGGTGCCTCACCTTTGTGTACCTTTGGGAGTCCATATAATTGCGCGATGCTCTAGACACAGGCTCTCATTCGTTCGCTCTCCTCCTTCGTGCTTTGATTCGTTTCTTGAAGTTGTTTCAAATTCTGTTTAATTTGTTTGTCAGTTGTGAGGTTGGATCGGTGTCAATACACTTGTAGGTCATTGTGTCGTTCAAGAGACGTAAAGCTTTCTCAGCGTAATCCGATTTATCCATTATAACAGTCATCCGTCCCTTGTCTGCCGGCAGGATGATGATCGTTTCATCAGGCTTCAAGAATTTTATTGCCTGCTTTTCTTGTCTGCTTAAGGCATTGTATTGCCAGTTGCGCATTATAGCTGGAACAATAGTGTGTCTTATTTGCTTTCGAGTCTCTTCCTCCATTCCATTGGATTATAGAGCGCTTTCGAATGCTGCCAGAAAGTCTGCAGTCGCTGTATCTCTGAAGTTCCAGTTTAGTCCCTTGATGAGGACTTGCTGTTCCGATTCGTTAATTTGTCGGTTAGACAAAATTCTGATCCAGCTATTGCTAGTAGTTCTGTCTTTACCAGAGGTCAGTTTTGATAACTTAACGAAATGTGCAGTATGCTTCTTTGTCCTAGCGTATGTCGCTCGATGTTATATTGCAGCGCCAAGTTGTCTGTTAGTTGTTGTCCAATAATTTGAAGACAGGTTGACTGATGTTCGTCCAGACATCGTTCATATTTCTTGAGTCGATTGTGAGCGTCAGTGATCATCAGCCGTACCATTCGGCTGCCAAATTGCCGAGCGGCTGCCCACGCTTGTGGATGATCAATGGGCGGTTTGTAGCGAATACTGCGGGGAAGAATGTCTCTTCTCAGGCATACATAAAGGAAGAAGAGGTGTTGCCTTGTAGAGGCTTGCCTGCAAACGTAGTCATCTCAATGGCGAGCAGTGCACGGTTACGACCAATCGTGTCACTACCAGGAACACCCACCTACCACTTGGCGAAAAAAAATGTGGAGACGCCTCAAACATCTGACCTGTGGATCACAATATTCCATTAATAATGCCCAGCAATTTCTACAAAAGCTCAAAGACCTGCGAATAGATGATGATGAAACAATGATATCTTTCGACTTGACTGCCCTCTTTACGTCTGTCAACTTACAGATGGCAACAACAGTCATCACAGAACGGCTGAACAGCAGTGAACAACCAATCAGGTACATGACGACGGAGAACGTATGCAAGCTACTCCAGTTATGTCTGTCAACCTACTTCTCTTTCAACGGGAAGATCTACGAACAATTGAAAGCCGCGCCAACGGGATCACCTTTATCGAGACTCATTGCGGAGATGGTAATGCAGAAATTAGAGGGAGATGTACTCCCACCCAGTAATCCGAAACTGCGGGTCCGATGTGTTGACGATAGTTTTGTGATCATCAAACGCAATCAAGTTACAGTCGCACAGCAGCTATTGAACAACGCCAATGAAGACATCCGGTTTACGATCGAAATGCAGAAGGAAAACCAACTACCTTTCCTGGATGTATGAGTAACCAGAACCATGGAAGGGAGGCTGCAAACATCAGTTTACAGAAAATGGACATATACGGACCAAATTCTGAACTTCAACCGTAACCACCCGAAATGCTACAAAGTAAGCTGGGTGCGGACACTATTTGGTGGAGTGCAGACACACAGCAGTACCGCGGAGGCAAAGCAACAAGAAGAGAAGCATCTGTTTAAATGTTTCCAACTCAATGGATACCTGCGAAGCTTCATCCGTAGGTGTCTGAACCACAACGAAACAAACAGACAGCCTACACCAACGACGAAGAGACACGTTGTTTTATCTTGTATGAAGAATATATCCGAAATGGCAGCAAGACTATTCAAACAACATCACCCCATCGTAGCATACAAACCAACTGCCACATTGAGGAAAACTCTGTGGAAACCGAAAGAGAAACTGGAAGCTCATGAGCAAAGTAATGTTGTATATAGAATAAGTTGTAGAAATTGCGAAAAGGACTATGTTGGCCAAACAGGTAGAAAATTATCAACACGATGAAGAGAGTACAAATGAGCATGCAAAAGGCACTATGCATCATCGCTAGTCTCTGCACAGGTGGATGAAAAGGGACACAGCTTTGATTGGGCCAAAACAGAAGTCCTGGCATGAGGTGAAACAAGAAGAGGAAGTGAGCTCCTGGAAGCGTGGTTCTCAACAGAAGACTCGACCAACATGTATATCGAGATTGACCCAGTTTACTAACCCATCCTACGGAGAGAACTTAGAGAAATTATGAGAGGCCACTTGAATAGGAACAACCAGAGTGACGACTTCCGCCACGGGGAAATGGATAGAGATCACGGGACACAGATCGAAGCCGTCCCTTTGGAAAAGTCATCTGCACACCGATCACGGATCGACAATTCAATCAGCGAGATTACACTCCACATCTCGACGTACTGATGATGTCGCCTTGCATGGCGATGAAACGTTTGCAAACAAATTTCCCAGCTCGGCGAACAAATGAGCAACTGAATTCTCAACCCGAGCTCCCAGCTTTCTGAAACAGTTGCAATTCACTAGGTTAACCTGCAGATAGCGTGTCACTGGTGGAGGGGGGGGGGGGGGGGATTACAAATGGAGGGGTGAGGTGAAACATATTGGTGGGGAGGGGTAGGGGGGGGGTGGTGGGTAGGGATGGTTGGTAGTGGTTGGTTGGTAGGGGGCGTGGGGGTGGGTGTGTAGGGGGGGGGGGGATGAGTGATGGGGGGTGTTTTTTGTTGTGTGGGTTGGGGTGTGTGGGGGGTTTGGTGGTGTTTTTGTTGATTTATAGGGGGTTTGTGGGTTTTGGTAGGTTAGGGGGTGTATGTATTGAGAGTTAGGGGAAAGTGGGGTGTTGGGGGGGAATTTTTTATGTTGTGGTGGTTGGGGTGGATTGGGATTATTTAATAAGTGAATTGAATGGTTGAATAGGGGGTTTAGATGTATTTAATGGGGTATTAAAATTAGTGTAGGATAGTACGGATGATTGAGAGAGAGTAGGTATTGGATTATATATAGATGAGTTTGACATTAAGTTTTGTTTAAGATATTTTTAGATGTTTGGAGTGATAAATGAGGTAGTAGGATGGTGTAATATGTGGTACATTAGATAAGAAAGGGACGCTACATTCACCTGGAAATCAGTTCATAGGGGGACCGCTCGCGATAGACTTAAGGACGGCACGCGTGAAACCATGGAGTACCTGCCATGGTTTTCAAATTCACGGGATGCTTCAATGGGCATAGATGGTTCGGAGTCGGTTCCAGAGTCAAGCAACCTCAATGGCTCGAATACTGAAGTCCCCATTGTTTCATTTGAACCAAATACTGGACGTGTTGATCCTGGACAGGAAATTTCCATTAACGTCTCTTTAAGCTGTTCCCATGCGGGTCAATACATTGAGCGAATACCGTGTGACGTCGACTTTTTGCCGGATTCACCACTTTGGCTTCAAGTGGAAGCGGAATTTCGTGTAAGCTTTAACATCTCGTATTTGCATTTTTCCCAAGCCTGAAATCCAAACTTGCATGCATATTAACCCTCATTTAATCGTTCGCTAATATCTAACGCATCTAGTCTATTTTACATTACAACTAACCGGCAGACGGGGCGGTATTCTGAGTTTATGAGTAGGCTGTTCCTATTTCTAAGTAGTCTGTTTTAATACAAAAGTTTGTGTGGTACGTCCAGAACTTGTCAACATGTGGCGCTCTCTTGTATAGACAACTGAACTGGAGGTCGATCAGCCGGATTGCGATTTCAATGTGGTCCGATTGGGTTCGAGAGTTAGCCGACCCCTAGTGCTAACCAATCGCTCATCGTCCGCCTTCCGCTGGCACTCTCTCGCGCAATCGCCTCTTGATACGTCCACCGTAAGTTGCATCTATTCATCTCAACGTACTCTCTCCACAAAAGCTACTAATAAACTATGTGTGGCACTCGTGTATCTGCTTTGAAGCAATAAAAACGTATTCGTGGAACACTGGTGCCAATCGTGCATCAGGGAACAGTATTTGAGTGAGTCCGTTTTCAGAGGTTGCCCTAGTTAATAGAGCTGTGCACGTGAGCGTTTGCATTTGGCATTTATCTGGACAGGTGGCATATGGACGGCGTATGAAATACGCCTGGGTTCATATCACACATGTGTTTTCAAGAGAACCGAAGAAACGAGCAGTCGGTTTTGCTTTCCTGCGATATTTGTAAACCTATCAGGTACTACACTTGATCTCAGTAGGCGGAACGGAAAGAGCAAGAAAACTCTCGAATTAGTCTTAGGATAAACACAGTTTGTGCCTTTAAGTTAGGAGTACAAATAGCGAGCCAGATGTATGGTAAATAATATAAAGTTAGGTATTCAAAGTTGGACTTGGAGAACCCACTATGGGTTGCTTAAGTATTGTCACAGTTTGCAACTTCTAGGGCATTTTTGTTGGAGTAAACCACTTGTGCGCTCTTATGAGTCACGAAATCAACCACCTTGCTGTGAGGGAACGTGCGAATATGGCAAGCAGACAGGAAGTGTCAGGTGATCAGATACGTCATCTAGTGTAACAAGATGCCACGCGAATGCGACCAAAGCCAGCGGTGATTGTTTATCCAGTGGAATTAACGTTTTTTTTATCAAATAGGTCAGGTAAAGTCAGATTCCTAGGACGAAATAGGCTCCAGTCTAACGAGCGTCCTGTTTCTTGTGCCGGTAAGCAAACGAGTGCTTATAGTACTTCGACGTTTGGGTTGCTTCCCTTGCTTCTGCAAAAGAAAGGAAACTAAAACAAGAGCAACACGTGTGCTTTCTTGGAGCACGGACTACGTGGTTTGACAATTGTCAATACGCTTACAAAATTCCGGAAAAAGGTCTGATCCAAACTTATCCAAGCTCTTTATAAAGGCTTCTACAGGGGTGCTTCCAATCAAGGCAAGAATTTGTTCCAACCGTGAACCACATTTTATCTCAAGAAGACTTTCACCATTCTTCTTAATAAATCTAACACTGCATTGTATGAATCCGGATATCACTTGTTGCATGAAAATAACCTAATAACTAACATGACGGGCAAATGATGTCATGGATTACTGTTATTGCAGCATTATAGTTGCGTGACTAGTGTCCAAACGACTTAGCATGTTGACGAACTTGCACATAAGAGCCAACTGTTTCCGATCTATGGTGCTATCTCACTCTATGGACGGTCACGCTTGGAATAGTATTGAATATCCAAAGCATTTGGCTAAGTTCCATTGCCTCTTAGCATCACTCACCCGTCGCCCTTCGGACGTTCACTTGTTCTCGAAGAGTCTGAGAGGGCAATGATGCTTTCCTCCTCAATGAATAGTCGCCAACACTTCACCAGACCTTTAAACAGGACCGTATCTAGAGGTATCTGCAACTGTCACATCTATAGCTTGAATGATCGATCGCATTTACTCTCGTTGATGTCGCTTGTGTAGATCCATCTCTGTCAACTAGCACCGCCCCAGAGTATAGGAGACAAGTAAGGTGCGCTCCCTTCAGACACTGGGATCCACGATCAGTTTTCTCCGTTTCTGGACTCTTCAAACAGACAACAGGAGCACGGAATCAATCCCAGACCACTGTATCATAAAGGAAACGCTTCCCAAAACTATTGCTTGTCGCATCTCTTGGAAATGCACCAGTGTACAGGTTTTAGAGCCGAAAACGCCCAGCACGTCTCCACTTTTGATGCTGTACCAGTGATCGAAATGACACAGGACTACAATCCGCAAATCAATCTCATACCTAGTGTTCATAAGACTAGTACACAGATTCGCAATGTCTAATGAAATTGAACCGACCACTTGTTGATTCAGCGCAGCTGTACGCCACCGAACGCGTCCCCAGTTTGCAGATCGCGGAATAACTTTCTTGCGAAAGTAACTGTAAATAAGTTTTGGCTGTTCGCAGTCGACATGAATAAGCAGTTGCGGACCAACAGCGGCAGCGTCCTAGATCGTGTGGGCTTCTGGGCTGGTCAGGTAGTTCCTCCTTAAATACCCTGGGAATTCGTAGGACGCTGTGTTAAAGCCACTGTGACCGTTTAGATGGTCATTGATCACCTACTTCTGCGACCAGAAATGAATATCCAGCAGAGAGCGGAAAATTACGCTCGATGGCCACCGACTTCTACAAAGACGTATGAGGCACCTGGAGTCATTAAAATTCGTGCTCGCCAGCAAGTTTCTTTTGTTAAGGGAACTTCTCCTGCTCTCCGTGCAGCTTCAATCGGGCTCTTTGGGCGTCCTGAATAGTTTGTCCCTAGAAAATCGTGTTATTCTCACTATGGTAATCGGCTCCAAAAGGTTCGCCATGTTCGTCAATCACCTCGCTGTCTTGCGTGTCAGGTCTTTATGACCTAAGGCTCCGTGTGGTGTCCGCTAACTCAGCTCTCTTCTCTGGCCTTGGCAACCGAGAGGTAGCACGCCAACACAACTTATGGATCAACGTTTCAGCGATTCTGCGCTTACTCTCTCTCTCTCTCTCTCTCTCTGCTCTCTGGAAATGCTTTCCTCGGCCGAGTTACTGGCGACCGAACATGCCATATCTCGCTCCACCGCACCACTGTTCAGTTACTTTATTCTATGTTTGTTCAACTTCCCTATCCTTGGTAAACCTCCTCCGTTTCCGAGTGCAGAACACTGTGCCGCCTTGGGCGAGTGTTCGCGCCATACAGATGTGAAACTTAGGTCTTAGTATTTTTGACAAACCTTTTCTAGCACTCCGTTCCCGATTTATCCTTGCAACATTTAACGTTCGGGCGCTGATGCAACTCGGATCACAAGCAGCACTTGCTCGTACACATGAGACTACTGCCATTGATGTTTGCTGCCTCGCTGAAACCAGGTTACAAGTACCTGGCACGACGCTACCACTGATTTCAACTTCTACGATCTCCGGTGGCATTTTCACACTGCGCTAATCTGGGAACGCAACTACCGAAGCCACTGATCTTGCCGGCGTGAGGATTGCGTTGAGCACACTTGCTGAGGTCGCGCTACTAAACTGGTTCCCTGTCAGCGGTCGTCTCTGCACTATCCGACTTGAAACCTCAGTGCGACTGTCCAGCCGCAGAGCCAGCAGACGTTAATTACTTATTGTAGCAGCCTAGGCTCCCACAGACTGCAGCCCTCATTCAGTTAAAGAATAGTTATACTATCAACTCTCCGACCTCAGATAAAGCGCATTACGGACATCCTGATGCTTGCCGGGGAATTGAACACACAGGTCACCAGCCTTGAGGTTGACGAGCGTGAACTCTCTGGTCAGCATGGCCATGGTATTAGCAAAACAGACAACGGTGATCACCAACTTCAGCCTTGCGCAGATCATGGCCCCTTTCTGTTGAGTAATAGCGTTTAGAGATCCAGGCGCCACCGCGTAACCGTGGGGCTCCCATCACCTGGTCAGTCGTGGACACCAAGTGACCTTCTCGTCATTAGTTATCGCTAGCGGGGCTGCATACAGGACTTCAAAACGAGCTGGACTTGAGGGTTTACGTGTTGCTTTCCCCCTTCACTTCACTCCACAACCGACCGGTTCCGTCCTGATTTGTACGCGTCAAGAAGAGATAGACTGATCTGGGTGTGGAACTCTGCAAATGGTGGTTGGCGGCGATTGGCGTGATCACTGGGCCATTAAGCTCCGCGAGCAGAGCCTGAAGTTCAACTGCTAACCGTTAGGTCAAGCATTGGTCGCGGAGCTCAATGGCCTTGTGATCATGGCGATAGCCGCCAAGCGCTATGCACCGAGTTCCACTTCCAACTCTGCTATCTCTAGCTGATGAGTCCAAACCAGGATGAAAGCGGTCTGTCATGGAGTGCAAGGATGGGAGAAACATACCGAAACCCTCCACTTCGGTGGCGGTCCCAGTGATTGTATTGACAGAGGCTGACTTCAAAATCAGCAGAGGCCACAATTGAGATTGTGTGTTGTGATCCAAGACACAGGACGGGTATTCCAAAAACTAAACATTCGATCTGGAGTACTTACCTCACTTCTGAACATGAGCTTGTCTGCGCTAAGACCACTCTACGTTTTGGTGGCTAGCAACAGAGTCGCTGGAAACGGCTTGACGCAGCTAAGTTTTCTGTCCCAAATGTTTTCAGCGCATTTGGGGACGCGACTGCTTCAAATCTAAAGAGCACATGACGCTAAGACGTTGGAACGCACTGCGCACACATCCAGAGCGCCATGCATAACTCTGCAAACCTAGTCTGTAATTTCACCAGTAGTCCTGTCACCCACTGGCTCACTGCACAATCTCTCCAGTTTCTCGAAACTCGTAGAGTAATTCTTGCCGGCGTTGGGAACCATTTTACTGCGCAGGGCCACGGAAGCTGAACTCAAACGGATCTTCCGGGATGATCGTAAATTTTGGTGAATGCGGCGGGTCAAGTAGATGGAGCCAGCGGTCACCTCTAGGAATTTCAGAAAACCTTTACTCCTGTTCCGATCTACTGGCGGCGAAAGGCTGTAGACGGATTTTTGTGCTAAATCACTGGTGAGCTAATCGCTGTCAACAACGTCTAGTTGAGCGTTTGGCCGAACATTCATGGCCGCCGTTTAACCGGCCAGAAGCACAGGCGAGTACTCACTCAGGAATTCAGAGTGCCGTCTGGTGTGTAGACGCTTCACCACCATCTAAGACTGAGGTTACTCATGAGATTTGCCACTTAGAGCGCTACAAAGCTCCAATCCCAGACGAACTCCCTCAGGCTGTTGTCAAAGATGGAGACCCATCACTGGTTTGGAAGCTAACTTTCCTTCTCCAAGTGGTGTGGCTCACTGAAGCAATTTCTTATTATTGGAATCTAGCGGATATCCTGTCCGTCTTTAGAAAGCGTTCGCGGACTTACC